TTTTAAAAAATTAAATATAAAGAGACTTTTTTTATTATAAGATCAATAATTAAAATTAAAAAATAATCATAAAGTAAAAGTAAGAGAAAAAAAAACACTTATCTCTTTAAAATATAAAAAAAAATATAATTTTATGATAAATTTTAAATAAAAAAACATTTATTATTATGTGACGGCAAGAATTGCAGATCAAATATTTAACCCTTTTGCTGCTTTGGCTATTTTCTTTACCCATTAAATGAATGATTACCTAATTGTTTTAGTCGGGGAGGATGATTTAGACCCTTCCGATTAGTTCCATTGCCACATGGCGGCCAGGGTAAGTCCTCTTGATGTATCAATTTCAAGCGTTTATGGCAGAAGAAAACAAATGCAATCAAGTTGTATGCCTCTGGATTTGGTTTCGGCATTTCTTGGGTTTTGTTATATTCAAATATGGATCTTGAATTTTGTACACAAAACAAAAAACAAATACGGCAGTTGATACCAATAATTTGTTGATTTAAGTGGAAGGAGTTCAATTTTTCTTAAATAAAATCTTAAATTTGAGTCTTTTAAATGAAGAAATAGATACTGAGAGAGTTTCCCATAAAATGAGGTCTAACGTAATTCCATTTCAAATTAATCGAGACCCAATATAATTACCAAATATCGAAAAGTTAATATCAAAAAATAATAATAATAAATATGGTAGCCGGCTTTCGGATATACAATTTTCACATTTAGAAAAGTTACGTCTCCTAATATCATTTCTCATGTTGGATTTTTGGGTATGGATTTGTCTTTGCTTTGCTTTCATATTTATCTTCATGGATGTGATTGTTATATGTACTATAGCATGTTTTAATGGTTGAAACTTAAATTTTTATATTAAAAATCTTAATTTTAAATTTTGAAATAAGTGAGGAGAAATTTGGAAAGAAAATAAAATACTTTTTTATTATATAATATAAAAAAAAATAGTGTGATTATTATGAGTATTGATTATAAATTTGTCAACTTTTCACACTTACTTTCTGATACTGATCACATTACTCTCGTGACATGTACAACGAGATCATGGATGGGTATGGACTAGTTCCGTTAGTATTTACTAGTTAGAAGCTAACAATCTATTTAATTCTAATAGATTGAATCAAGTTTATCAAGCCAACTAGAACACCCCACAAGTCTAAGAGCTTGGGGCATGAGAGTGAGAGTACTACTCCCACCACCCATAAAAACTTACCCTCTTCCCTCAATGTCCTCAAGTTAAAATAATAATAATTATAATAATAATAATAAATTCCAATGGATTAACAGATCTCCAAGGAAAAGAAAAAAGAAGAGCTATACTCTTTTTGTTTTAAAATGTTAGTTATTTGACTTTTCGATATATAATTTTAAGTAAAATTTTTATATAAATTATAGGTTAAATATTTTTTTTGGTCCCTCTACTATAGGAAAAGCCTCTTTTTTGTCTTTATATTGAAAAAATCTCATTTTTGGTCCCTAAATTTTAAAATCCTACTCCTTTTTAGTCCCTCCGTTAAATTTTGACTAATATGCCAAGTTAATTAATTAAAAAACTTATTTTTTTTACTAAATTACGTGAAAAATCCATCTAGTAAAAATTGATAACATGGTTAAATTTTTTACCTTTAATTATTGATTTACCCTCATCTTCTTCTCTATCCTCTACTTCCTCTGACCTTTTTTTTTTTTCTTTTACCTCCAGGCAAACCCTAGAGCTTGGGTTCGCGACGAACCCAGCTCACGGGTGTGCGACGAACCCAACTGTTGATCGTGGCAATAATAGAAAAAAGATCCTTTGCCCATTATCTCCTCACCTTCCTGTTTATAAGCCACAGCTTACTTCGACGTTTCTAATTTTCCACAGAATCTCCGGGGCTTTCCTAGCCACTATAGTTTTGTTTTTTTATCTTCTTTGTCTAAAACTGGGTTTGATTTGCTTCACCTATGAGAATTTGATATGGCAAATGAAGTAAGATTTTGATATGCATAACCCTTGAAAGTGATGTTGATGGGAAAAATCTTTTAGACCCAAATCCAGTTGATGATAGCTGATGCTGTGAAAATTTTTACCTTAAGGGACTATTGACAGAGGGTTTCTTTTGGATCCCTTCTTTGGGTGGACCAACTACTATTGCTGCTCGACAAAGTGGAGCAGGCATTTCTTGGCTTATTCCATTTGTGGTAACAAACTTGCTTCCCAGACTTTTGAATCCAAAAAATTGAGTTGCTGCTCAATGTATGGTCAAATTTTAAAGTTGTTTCTCTTCACAGAATTCCTATCATGCTCTGATCAGTGATAATATGTTGAACTTTTTGTGATCTAGTCACTATGTGTTTTACAATTTTCCTTCGAAGTTACCTTTGTGAAGCACAATTTTGGCAGAAAGACGGGCAGATCTGTTATTCCTTAAAATAATTTGCCTTGCAATTTTTAGATGTTTAGATGCCAAATTTTATGTTAATGTTCCATTTGGGGTTGATTGAAAAACCAAATATCACTCTCTTTTTTCTACCATAGGCCTTTGTCACGAACCCACGAGTTGGGTTCGCTTGGAGGTAAAAGAAAAAAGGTTAAAACCCTTTTTTGGTCCCTGGACTATTGTACAGACCCCCGATTTGGTCCCTAAACTAAAAAACCCCTGATTTGGTCCCTACTGTTTACCATTTTTACCCCGATTTGGTCCTTCCGTCAAATATCAACCTACGTGTCTCATTTCTTGACGGAAAATGATGACATGTAAAGACATTTTGACACCTAAGATGCACAGTGTGACAAAAAAATGAGATAGCAAGAAAAAAAATCTTAAAAAATTTGTTATTCCTTTTTTTTTCTTTGTTTGTTTTTCCTTTTCCCCTTTCTTCTTCCTCTCCCTTTCCTTTAACCTTCTGCAAACCCTAACTCCTAATATTAAATTCGAAGATAACACAACAAATCAACAGATTAAACTCAATAGATATTTGACCCAACGGCTGCTGGGTTCGAAACGAAACCAAGGGCCTCAAACCCACCGTGTGCTGGGTTCGATTTCGAACCCAGCACCTGCAAAAACCTAGCATTCGAAATTGAAAAATCGTACCCAACACCTGCAATAACCCAGCAACTGCCTTGCCTTGCCTTCTTCATCTTATCAATCAATTTTTCATCACAATCAAACAACAAAATCCAAAAAACAAAAGCAGAAATTTTTTTTAAAAAATTTTTTGCACCTAGGTTCCTAGCGTGCTGGGTTTGT